AGCCAATCAACTTCCTCAAATGTTGAAGGCTTGTCAAAGTTGGACGTGACATCTTGCCTGAAACTTCTTTGACAGGAAAAATGATGTCAGGGCGATCCCGACTCAAGTACAAGCACATACCCACAACCCTTCTGAAAACTGCAGCATCTGTTGAAGTCAGTTCAGCTGATATGTCCTCAAGTTGGATTGAGGCATCACACGGAATCAGCTGTCCACGCGCTGCACCAAAATGGTTCTCGAAAACTTCAACCACCTTGTGAACTTGTGTACCTGGGACTACCATGAGGCCATCTGTAACCAGAGATTTTTTTCTTAAGGAACGTGATTGTGCTGCCATGCTCTTGCAGTGCATTCCATTTGACAGAGAAACGTTCTTTGCAAACTGGTAAAAATTGTTTCTCAAAGAATTCTGCACTGCCAGTGTAAAGGATGTCGTCCACATGGATGAGAATCACTGAATCCTTTGTTCTACCCAAGCACGGCTGAACATCGCAAAACTCGTACTGAAACTTTTCCTCCAAGAAGTTTCTGAAGTACCAGTACCAAGATCGCGCTCCCTGTCTTTGTCCAGCAAAGTTCTTGAGGATGACATACTCGCATCCCTGTAGTTTACATTTGACTGGGTGCTCTTGGTCAACCTGCAGAAACGCATCACCGATGTCCATTGAAGCCAGCAAGGGTTTGTAAGAAACACCTCCATCCTTTGCAGCATCAGCCATCTGAAGAAAATTGGCCAAAAGCAAGTTGTTCGAGTGAGCTCCTGTTGTTGGGGCAAAAACATCATCTCTTTTCTCATTGGCAAATTCTCTTGCCACGTACCTGCTTCTCCTCATCCAACGCATTCGAGAATCTCCTTCACCAATGTAAAGTTTCTGCCTCCAATCTCTGACAAAACGTGTTGTAAGGCGCCCACTGATCTCACCATCATAGTCTGCAAAGCGCTTGAGAACACCCATGTCCAGTAGTCGTGAAATCTCAACCTTGTCAGCTAAGTCCTCCACCCATTGTTCTGGAGTTGGTGGTGACTCATCCAGACTGCTGTCATTCCAAAGCGCTTCTGGAACGCCTGCAACCAAAACTTCTTCTTCACCTGCCCAGAGATCACTGTCATCGTCGTGGAACTCATCTTGCTTCAAGTCACTGTCGTAGCTGTCCATGGTGTAGTATTCTTCAGTTCCAAATTTGACCATTCTGATCATCTGAGCATTTTGAGAAGTGATTGCATTGATTCTCTGCTTCTTGCTGTCGGCCACTCGTGTTTTCTTTGCATTCAGCTCCTCCTCAGTTTCATGCTCGTGTGTTCTGGTTGTTGACACGTGCCTGGGGCTCATAGTTCCACCAATGCTTGTAACATCGACTGGAGTCACTGGTGCTGCCAAACCTGGATCATCAGGCATTGCTGTATCTGTTGGGCCCATTGCCACTGCTGGAAGTTCAGGTGCTGGAGTTGATGGTGCTGGATGCGTGGCCGTGTCCTCCTTGAAAACTGTCTCATCTGCAAACTCCACATCACGACTGACATGGGTCGGCTTGTCATGGCCAGCCATGGCAGATGTCTCTGCCTCCCCTTTCTTCTCTTCAGCTGCCTTTTGTTTGACAGCTTCAGCATCCTCATCCACCAACGCACTTGGAACTGTAGGGCCTTGTGGGGCTGCAAAGCTAACTGCACGTGGCCCTCCAACACGACGTTTTGTAGGCACAACACGGCCACCAAACCCCACTTTGTACTGCCAGGAAAACAAGCTGAACTGTAGATGAAATTTCTTGTTTCTTAGTTTCATTTCGCCTATGCTTGGACACAAAAGCCGCTGCGCCTTGATCGAGCGGTCCTTTTGCCAAATTGGGGTGATTCGGTCTCCGGTCTCCTCCGGGTACAGCACATCAACTTACCAACAAGAAATCAACATTCGACTATGACACCCATAGTCTGGCAAATTGCACTCTCATGTGCAGCTTGTTTGTTGGATTACCCTCCAGGACTTTATTTGGGGTTAGCGGCGGGGGGGCATCTTTACATCAACATTGGGTCAAATCGACACCCACCACACCCTACCCTAACTTGAGCCAAGCATTGGCCGTTCACCTGTCACTACAAGTTCACTCTCATTTACTTTGAAACAAAGCGCCATGAGTTGCACTCAAAGCTTGCTTGTTTCTTAGTTTCATTTCGCCTATGCTTGGACACAAAAGCCGCTGCGCCTTGATCGAGCGGTCCTTTTGCCAAATTGGGGTGATTCGGTCTCCGGTCTCCTCCGGGTACAGCACATCAACTTACCAACAAGAAATCAACATCCGACTATGACACCCATAGTCTGGCAAATTGCACTCTCATGTGCAGCTTGTTGGATTACCCCTTTCAATTCCAAGCGAACATGAGTGAACCTGATTTACATCAACATCAACTGGAGGCGTGGGCTGTTTTCTTACAGAAATTATTTGGCCTTAGGCCAGGATACTTGCAATCTGGTGAAACCGTTGCTCAGCAAATCATCAATGATCAAACGCGAAGGAGCATCAGAAGGATTGGATAGTGATGGCACACGCGCCACCCAGGTGTAAAGACACCGTTTCCTGCAGACCTCACCAAAAGACTTCAGTAAGTCATTGTGGGTTGTTAATATGCTGTACATAGAAATCAAGCCGGCCCTAGCCGCTTCGTTGTCGACAAATATGAACGTGCGAATTGCAGAGAATGTTTCAGCCAGTTTAGACACTCCAGCAACAGCAGCGAAAAGCTCTAGCGTAGCAATGACTTTGGGTGTTCTGTTTTGCCAAGATTTAAGCACAGGTTCAGGGACTCGCTCGCTAATGAAAAATTTTTCTGTCACCATACCATCAACCACAAGCACAGCAACTACACCAATACCTGCTTCTCGGTCTTGGCCTTCCAAAGAGGCATCCGAAAACACCACCAGCTTACGTTTACTCATACCAATTTGCAACGTTCTCGGCAAATTGCTCTGCAAAAATTGTTTGGCCCATTCCAAATCGACTTTGAGCTCGGGCGTCACACAAGAACCCGTCAGCTTGCCACGAGCCCTCATTTGAACATGTCTCAAATGTGAAGATATGACTCTGCCAAATGTGTGTGTTTCTGCAAATTGGAGTTTGCCGCGTAAAGCGGCTGCCCTGGCTGTTGACAAGCTGTTTTGAAAAGAATGGAGTCAATGTCATCATTAATCTGTTGTATTCGAGATGTTTTGTTGCGCACAACAATTTTTCCTTGAGACGAGGAGGAAAGGTCAAAAGTGACACCCAACGCATCAAAAACTGAATACATCTTCTGCCGTTTGTGAGGCTTCGTTGAAAAATCCCAGCCAATGAGCGCCAGCAGTCGCTCTGCGGTTTCCTGCGCATGGTCTCCACAAACAGTCAGATCAATTTGAGGATAGTCGTCGTAAAAATTACTCCATACCAGTCCAAAGAGCCTTTCGCCAATTGAATGAATGGCTCGGGCGCAACGGTTGAAGCTATACACCGAAGCAGAGGCCCCAAAGGGAATAACATGGGATAAATACAGCTCGCGTTGATTGTTCACATTTTCAATTGCCAGTACTGAACACCAGAGCGACTGCTTAGCCACAAGAAGCTGTTTATAAGCGGCATCCAAATCAAGAGTACGGCCTCTGAGGTTTTTAGCGTCACAAGAACTGAGTGAAGGGTGCAACACGCCCCTCAATGAACTGCCATCAGAAAGCTTCAAATATACCTTACCATCACTGCTTACACACTCCAGGAAAGTACGGGCCATAACAGAAATTCCATCCACCCCCGGCAAGTCAAGTTTGTACGATGCCCCGAAAGCCGAATTTACTAAACTTTCTGAAAGGTCGTCAATGGCTCGCACCTTATCTGCTTGTTTTAAGCCAAATCTTTTGGAAACAACAAACAGCGGTCCCAAAACGCGCTTCAGGTCTTCTTCGGTGTAGGGCCCTGTGAGCCAGCCGCGTGACACTTCCTCTTGAGCGTCCTGCCAGACTTGGGCTGCGGCCTCATCATCGGCCGTCGCAGCAGTTTTTCCAAGGATAGCGCGTCGAATCCACCTTGTCGTCTTCATGAGTTGGGCGTCATCAAGCGCCGGTTCCGCTACGTCCGGCGGGAATTGCCCAGTTTCTGACGCAAGCCCAGTCAGCTTGACACCATTCACAAGAATATCCAACAAACCATCATCGTCCACGCCAGCATCTTTGCACATAGCCTGAAAAAGGAGAAATTTCTTTTTCCGCACCAGCTTTTCGCGACATGGATCCATAGCATTGTGAATCATTTGCTCTGCAGGCTCCAATTCGGCCTTCAATTGTTCATAGTATGTAAATAAATCATTGCGAGCCGCACTCACTGCTTGGAAACCTTCCGTGAGCAACCAAAACATGGCACGTTTGCAATCATCGTTTATTGAACTGTTATTGTCAAAAGGATGCTCCAGCTTACATGCTTGATCGAAAAACTCCTCTGGGGTTCTGTAAATTCCAACTTTCAGGATTCTGTTGACTTGAGCCTCAGCAGCTCCTTTTGCTTCTCTCTTGCCCTTCTCAGTCGGCAAAAGTTTAGAATTGGGCGGAAGCCCGTAGAGTTGTTGAAGTTCGGCTGTAAGTATCTTGGGGACAGGAACGTCAGTGTCTGTCCATGGGATGTCGCGGATTTCAGCAAATTCTGGAATAATTTGCGGTAGCAGATTTCCCCTTGGCTGCCGACCTGCTTCGGCAGCACGCTGGCCGGAGGTCTGAAGCTTGTGGCGTTTGTTGCAAGTCTTCGGTGCATTTGCAAAAACTGCATTATTTGAAATTGCTTCCTTTTTTAAAAGGTCAGCGACTTGTTCACATACAGGAGCCGTGTAATCAACATGTGTAGTGGGTGGGGACAGACCCGTGGCTTCGGCTGCGCTTTCCTGGGCGCTGTTGGTTGTGGCCAAGCAAGACATGCCAGAATTGTTTGTATACCATGTGATCCAGGGGGCACGTGAATCTGCTTGAAAATGAACAGGGAAAAGAGAACATTGATCAATTAACGTCTTTATCCAGGTGGTGTTCCAAACACGGGATCTTCTCGGATTTGCAAGTGAAATGACACAGCTGCTGTGCATGAAGAAATGATGGAGAATGGCTGCGATATTGCGTACTATGTTGTTGGCTCTGGTCACCCGTTCCAGGGACGGCCCAGTCAAATTGGGCAGGCCCTGCGGGTGCTGCTTGGAACGCAGCGGTTGCCGGTTTGGGGCACTGCGATGTGTCACTCGTCTCAAAGAAGTCTTCTGCACACGAGCAAGTGCCGTGAGGTGGCGTGGCATGTAAATAGAATACCAGATCTGGACAGTCCAGAAGCTGCAGTAAATGTTGCAAACATTGATCGTCAGATAAATCCAAAAGTGTGATACCATGCAATGGTTTGTGGCGATTCTTAGAATGATCCACAGCAATGGTCTTGAAGCCACTCTCTTTGAGAGTCGCGGAGAGTCGTGCACAACCTGCGCAAAGCTCAATGCACACTAGCCTGTCAGCAGAAACGCCATCACGGCTGGGAAACTTTCGCTTCCTGTTTTGTGTCTGCTGCTCATCAAGAAGACCAGGCGTTGCAAAGATTCAGGAGTGGTCTTTCTGAGAGTGGGGTTGGTTGCACCCCGGCTTCATGCACACATGCCACCCGCGCGGGCAGCGCTCGCCCGGTTTGCATTTTGCGCAACCTTGCAGGTTGAAATCGAAACATTTGGGCTCCCCCGAAGCTGTCGTAGGACTCATGCCAATCAGCGGCGCAGGCATTCTGATTAATTTGGACTTGCCCTTTCCTTTGCCGCGGCCTCTTGAAGAGGAGGAAAAGGATGGTGCTTGGTTGTGAGTAGCACGAGCTTGTAAATTGCGAAGCTGCCCTTGAAGATTCTCAATTGTCCTTTTCATCTTTTCGTTGTAAGGCTCCTCCTTGGGCTTCTTGTGGGGAGCATCCCCCTCTGTAGTGTCCATCCGTCGCTTGTTGCTAGAGCCTTGCAAAGGCTGCAGACACAGGCGCACTTCAGGTGCTTTCATGGCAGTCTGCAAAGCGACCTGCAATGGCTGATTTCCGGCAGTCACCCTGATTCCACCTCTGGTATCTCTCATCATGTTTTTGAAAAGTTGCAAATCGGCTCTGTGGACTTGCTCTATGGAAACTTTCTGATATCCTTCCATGGCAGGTGCTGTGTAAGTTTCCAAAAGAATATGCGACCAACGTTCAAACACTTCGTAATCTATCAAACGTGACTGATCGAAAGAGAGGGATCGCCTCTGCAGGGCAAATTTCAACTTGAGGTCTGTATCATATTCTGCCGTCAATGCTGCCTGAACTTTGGTTTCACGGATGACTCCATTTGAGTCGGCTTTCCAGACAGGATCACATTTGATCCCCATCAACTCTTGGTCACGTTTTATACATTCCTCCCAACGCACATAGCGCAACTTGTTTTCTTCTCCCATGTTGTACACAATGTCGATGAGAGAGTTGGAGGGTTCTAACTCCCCCACCAACTCCAGTCCAGTCAACCGCCTGCACTGGTCATTGTAGCGCGCTGAGCGCTCTGCCTGTGCCAGCCGCCTGGGTTGTTCATCGTCTTTTCTCTCAGCTCTGAGACGCATATCAGTAGAGGCCAAAGTGTAGGCTTCAAACACAAGACGCCTGATCAGAGGCATTCGTGCAGCAGGAGCAGGAGGGATTCCAGTCACTTCAGCAGCTAAGGTGGCCAAAGGGCTATCATCAGCTTGCCCTGGAATGTAATTGGAGGCGAATGCCAAGCGTCCGAAAGTATCATAGTTGAGGTTCTTCAAATTTCGCAACTCATCATCAGACACACCGATCTCCCGCGCCCTCTGGGCAAAATCGGCCTCCGAATCTAGCATGTGGATGTCACCTGGTTGGGAACTTCGAGCCCTAGAGCTCAGAGTCGGTCACAGTTACTTAACTGCAACTGTCGCTCATCATCCACATGTCTTGGTTTTGGAGCATCAACATCAACCCAAAACAGAAAAAATATATATAAATATATAAGTATAACACGACGAAATCATCTTATGACAAGAGACCAAATCAACTTATGACACGTGACACATCAACCTGTGACCGTCAGTCCTGTAGTGACGCTGCTCCGGTACACCCCGAGAGCAGGTTTGGTGCAGCCTAGCGTTCGAGCGCCAATCACTCGTGACTAACAACAGGAGTGTTTTGAGGCACATTACTTGAACGCGAATCGACATCGGGCGAACGGCAGAAATTTCTAACGGTCATGAGCAAGCAAGTGTCAAGGCATGGTCAATTTGCTGCGTTTGGAATAGAGTTTCGTGGGCAACAAACAATGCAAGTGAAGAAATTAAAACCAAAAACAAAAAAAAATCAAAACTTCGGACTGGTGCCAGTGGTTCAACATGTTTTCCTTCGTGCCTAGGGCAGGAACTGGTACACTTGACGGATCAGGGGTTGTTGTCACCCCAGCAATGCGTACAATGAGGCCAAGCTTTGTCAGGGTCTCCGTAGTATCGAGCATAGGTTTCGCCTAAGCTCCTTCCGCATGCTGTTTTTGCTCCATCATCTTTGTGTTCTAAGTGAAGTACCTTTGTTCGTCTATGACGATACATTAAATCGGCCAAAGCATTTCGTGAAACATTTCGGACCCTACCAAGCTGCCCGACTTCATGAGCTACGACAGCCATTGCACATTCTGCAGAGTCCGACCCTGAAGAGGAATAAGTGGAGGAAACCGAAGTGTCGCTATCTGACTCGTTTGCACCTTCAGCCTGTGGCGTCAAAACCTCGTCTTCGATTTCCATACTTTCATCTGACCGCAGGACGGTGCGCAGACTGGAAACTTCTTCAGGAAGCTCATCCCTTACGTGTTCTTCGGTGTCATCGTCTATTTCCAAACTTACAGTTTCCGTACAAAACATTTGCCACATGCCTGAAAGTTCAGTATTTGTACTGTGCAACATATCTTCTTCAGTCTGACCCCACATCAATTCTGCTACACCGCCGATACTCAAACCTGTCCACATGGTCAATTGCTCTGCTACTGTGCGCCGTTTGTGTTCAGGAACATGATATTCATCTCGGTTACCCAAAGGCAGCAGGGCGCCATCTCTGATGAGTTCAAGCATGTGCATCATGAATCGCAATGGTGCTGCTAACGCCTGTCGTTGGTAGTTCAAAGAGCTTTTATGGCTGGTTAGGTGGTACCCAAGCAACTCTGAATGTGTGTAATCACAGCCTGCTTCTCCAAGAAATGTAAGAATGCTTGTCTTCAGTGAATGGCTGGTGATATCCCTGACTGTGTCCTCATCAAGGACTTTTCCCAAAATCACTTGCAAACTATCGGTCACTTCAGTCGTTGAAATACTGACAGGAAGGTCTGAAGATACAGTAGCGTATGAAGGAAGCATCACAAAATTCCTATCATGTGAGCGAGACTCCAGTGTGGGAACCGCAGAAAGCTGTAGGCAATCTCTGGTTTCTTCAAATGCTCTGTACCAGTTTGCGTCAAGGAAACCTATACATGGGAAAACAACGGGCAAAAATGTGCACTGTTTTTCCTTGTTTCGTGCTGTTTTGGTTCTCATCAATGAACCTTCCACATATCGACCTCGCACTGACAAATTGGTCAACCTGTTGAGGTCAGATATTCGCAGTCTGCCGTAGAGGCAGCACAGGCAAAATCCTGCCACTGCTCGCAGAAAAGTGTCAGCTTCAGCGAAACACGCGATTTCCAGAATGGCTATGATCACAGGATGTAAAGCAGGAGCTTGCTTAAGTGGCCTCTTTTCTAAGAACATTGACAAAGAAGCTCCCTTGATGCGCGCAGACAATGCGCAATCCTTGGCCCCAAGGACACCCAATAGGTCCCCCACAAAATTCATAATGCCTACAAACGTAGAGCCACGTGTAGCTGAGGATCCTGTTGTCCTGAGGTGACACAAGTACTCATACACTTTTTCTTCCTCAAACGGAATCGCATCTGACCCAGAATAGGCATTTTCATGCCACCGAAAGAAAAGAGCTAAAGAAGAAGCACGAAGTTTCAATGTGGATGTAGCTCTACTTTGCAAAGTGTCAGAGATGATCTGGAACGAAGCGTTGCCGTCCACATCTTCAGTCGATTTTAGCAGCTGTTGTCCAAGAACACTTGCAGTAGGGAAGCGTAAAACTAAATCGGACCATTGCAACAAAACCTGTGCACGTTGCTCGTCATGGTGTCTTTCGGAAGCTTTGTAGCACAAGGTTTGTGCAAGCCGCTTTCTTTCCAGAATGTTTCTGTCACTTAAAGGTGGCATCGAACTCACAGGCAAGGAAGGAAGGTTCATAGGAATCTTGGGATTCGCAAGCCAAGGCAAAGGCCCAGAATTGAACATGGATTCAAGGTGAGGCGTGAGCTCCCATGGCATTTTTGGGAAACCTACTAAAGAACCTTTGCTCACGCAACCGGTGAGAGCAACATCAACTTTAGATGAAGAGGAGCTAGAAGATGCACCAAAAACTTCAACATCGGAAATTCCCCTCTTCATCTTTACATCAACATTGGGTCAAATCGACACCCACCACACCCTACCCTAACTTGAACCAAGCATTGGCCGTTCACCTGTCACTACAAGTTCACTCTCATTTACTTTGAAACAAAGCGCCATGAGTTGCACTCAAAGCTTGCATGTACATCCTCCAATCTATGTTCACCCTCCTGACAGACCTTGTAAGCACCAAAGAGCTTCCATCGTAGAGCAAGAAACTGTCCTGGCATTCGACTTTTCCCAGAAAAATCATACGATGCCACTTTGCATTGCCCTTCATGTGGGACTTTGAGAAGCCAAACCGGCTCTGAAAACTCGCAGATTTGGCCATCATATGGTTTTCCAAACACAATCTCGTAGCTTGTAAGGCCTTTGTATGGGTTGTACCTGTTCATCAGCCAAGCCGCATATCGCATAGCCCACGTCCACAAGGCACGACTTGTGCCAAAAGTCACCTTGAGCTTGTCCATCACGTTGAACATCAACGAACATGCTACACCTCTGACTCTGCTCAAAGCGTTTTCTGCTAGGCAATTTCCATGGGTGTAGGCAGCTGGTGTGGACATGTGGGTGATGAGACCCATTTGCTGTCTTGCCTTTTGATTCAATTTGGCCACCTGCACGATCGTTGGTTCATTGTCTGAACGCAGTTCCACCTCATTGTAACCAAGCAAAGCGCAAAATGCCACCAGTTCCTTTGTAAGCAAGTCAAACTGTGCCTTGGAGTTCAATGGCACAACACCCAAATAGCCACTCTTGTTGTCAACCGTGATCATTGCAACCAACGTGTCCTCATCTTTGACTGCTTCATCACCAGCCTTTGTATAGAAAGAGTCAAACGACACCACTGGAACACTGCCTTCCATCGATGACCCATCTCTGTGGTGCTTGTCAGCTCGTGCACGGTGACTGACACAAGCTGCACACCAAGGCTGATATGGCAAATGGGTGAGTTTGTGTTGCGCTTGAACTGATTCATCTGGTGGTTCTGCCAATGTTGGTGCCCTCGGTATCCTTACCTCAGGGTCCAAAGCATCTCGTGAGGCATGAAGAACGGTTTCCATCTGCAAACCCTTCTGGTGTTCAACCAACTTTTTGAAAACCTTGCTTTTGCTTCCTGAGGTTGAAATTCCATAGGTTCTGCACGCTGCTCGAAGGTTTGCAAGAGAACTCTCAGCAGTAAGGGTTTCACCATCCACTTCAATCTGATCATCACGTTGGGGCTGAACCACAATTCTGCCACCTCCAACTTCTTGAGCTGGAACATCAGCAGGTTGAACCAACAACTTGGACATCGTCCTCTGGCGCAAACAAAACGTTTTCACCATCATCATCATGATGTTCTGCCTGAAGCTCCATGGGGCCATCATCCTCAAACTTGAAACCCATCATGTATGGATCTTTCTCTCCAGGTGTAACCAATGTGATGGTACTTCGATTGCCCTGCAAGTCGTGGAACTTGGCATCAAGACTGACCAATAACCTGAGGGGTTCATTCAACTCCAGGATTTGCCACTTTCCATTGTCACCCTTCACCAGTGTTGTCCTGTGTTGTGGACCTTGAAGAGCTGGAAAGGCCAACGTAGGATCCTGGAAAGAGTCAGTTATGTGTCGTCCCACAATGTAGCGAGCTGTATTGACTGTCCCACCAACTGAACTGTTGACCCAGAGCCACCAAAGCCTCCTCGAACGCATCCCAGCTTTGGATGATTTACAGGCTTCCTGGCTACTGCTCCTGTTTTGTGCGAGCCCCCGCTGCAACCACATCCTCCGCACCACCGCCCCGCAACTCACACAAGAGTTCGCACTACGCCACGACACAGCAGTGGCAGCATGTCTGCAAACTTTGCTCGGCTTCCCCGACATCCCAGCAACCAGTTTGGCCACAGCACACCTTCCCTTGTCCCACGGTGGCCTGGGTTTGACTTCAGCAGCAGTCACAGCACAGGCGGCATATTGGGCATCATGGGCCGACACGTTCCCAGTCCTCAATCGTCAGCTCCCCGAGCTGACCGCAGCAATCCTCCAAACTTTCCAGTCTGCCGGCCAAACCCCACGAGCAATCCAAGCAGCAATCGACGCAGCCAATGCGTTGCGCACCGCCGGTTGGCACCCACCAGCATGGTCTGACCTCACGCAGCCAGTCCAACACCCTGTCCCCAACCCCATGGAGGAACCATTGGCAAGCCGAGGATGGTAACACCGAGCAACAGCAGCCATCCACACTACCGGCCGCGCAGAGCTTCTTGCCACCATCGACCCGGCCAGCCAAGCCATGATCGAATCACAAACAGGGCATTTTGCCAGCAGAGCTTTCACAACAATCCCATCAGGACCAGAGTTCGCATACCCTTCCGATCTGTTCCGGATCCTTCTGCTTCGTCGTCTCCGCCTTCCTCTTCCGCTGTCTGCTCGTTACTGCAGGTGCCGTCGCACTCTCGATTCCTTCGGCGACCACCGTGCAGCATGCGCAACTTCGGGGGCTTTGCGAAGCCGAGCAGGGCCTTTGGAACGGGCGGCAGCCCGAGTATGCAGAGAAGCAGGGGCCAGAGTGACCACCAATGTGCTGGTGTCCGACCTCAACCTCACCACCACCAACCGGATCGACAACCGGAGGATTGAAGTCATCGCTCACGGGCTTCCGCTGCACAATGGAGCACAGTTGGCAGTCGACACAACCATGGTGTCCCCCCTTACCAGCTCCGGACAGCCCCGGCCCCAAGGACGCCAGCCAGGCTCACCGGCCTTGAGGGCTGCGCGCCAAGCAAAGGAGCGCACTTACCCTGAACTGGTTCGCGGCAACCGGTGTCGCCTCGTGGTTTTGGCCATGGAAGTCGGTGGAAAGTGGAGCCATGAAGCCGCTGAGTTCCTACGCTTGTTGGCCCAGGCTCGCAGTCGGTCCGTTCCCCATGTTCTCCGAACAGCCGCCATCCAAGCATCCATCGCACGCTGGTCGGCCCTAGTTACCCATGCGGCACAAGCACCGTTTGCAGCCAGCCTCATCCTACAAGACCCAGCAAGCCAGAGCAGCACAGACGGCAACACGCCACCCCTGAGCACCCTCCTGGAACACCACCCTGGCAACCCACCCCCACCGTCACGCCTCCCTATTCGACCTTGAGGGGGGCCCCCTTGGCTTTGGACTTCTAGCCACCCCGGCAAACCCAAGTGGCCCGGCACTTGGTCAGCGGAAGCTGTGAGTGTGACACCGGAAAGGCACCCGACTTCACTGCGCGGTCAAAAAGGCGTGTGCGGGAAAAAAAAACTGTTGACCAAATCTTCATTGACCTCTGCACTGATTGCACGTACTGCACATGGAACCACAGCTCCATCAAGTGCAGAAATCATGCGCACTTGTCCCACAATTGCCATGCTTCTGTTCTGCATGTGGATGGGCACGCTTGTATTTGACCCATGTTGAACCAGAGACTGTTCAGTTGCGTTGATTCCAAAACCTTGCTCCATCAATCTCCCATAGCAGAGTATCGGTTGATTCACTTTCGAGGAAATTGCAACCTTCTCCTTCAGGATCATGGTTTTACCTGAAGTTGTTCCAAGCCTGATTTCAACGCATCTGGTGCCTTCCACTGGAATGTCTCTACCTTGGGCATCACATAGTTTGGCAGTTTGACCTGCCACCGGGGATCCAGCCTCAATCAAGTTTGATGGAAAAACGCTGTAGTCAGCTCCAGAGTCTAGCAAAATCATCTATGCAGATTCATCACCTTCAACTTCTTCTACAACAGCTCTCACCATGCCAGAAACTGTAAGTGCATCTTCATCAGCATCCCCAATGTAATGATGTACAACGCAAACGTTACCACCAAAACTTGTCGAAACCTTCAACTCAAACACCAAACCATCTGATGCATTTTCAACAATACGTGCATCTCTATGCTGACCTGAGTGAACTGCAGATTGCTGAGCTTGAGGAACTTGGTTGGAAACGCTTGTCAAATGAGTGAAGCTTCCAGTTGTTGAGCTCGAAGGGGAACCTTGGACCACGGTCTGATAGGACGCCATGTTGTCCTGTGACTGTTGGGCTGCATTTCATGCAACAGCCCTCACTTGTTGTCCACCTTGCCAGCAATCCCTGGCGTAGTGGCCAGGTTTGCCACAAATGTAGCACCGTCGATCACCTTTCCCTTTTCCTTTGGATCTGTCATCTGCTCTGCCCTTGCCCTTGTCAGAGCCCTTTTTCGATTTTCCTTTGCCATCCTTGGACTTTGTCTTCGACTTGCCTTTGCCTTTTGAAGCACCCTTGTCACTTTTGCCTTTGCCTTTGCCCTTGCCTTTCTTTCCTGCAGCTCCATGCCATCCTGTGCCTTCAACCCTGTCGATTTCCATAGGCACTGCTGTATCATCTGAAGCCACCAAAGTTGACCAACGTTGTTGCACCTTGTCCCACTTCAAGCATTGTTCTCGGAGAGAAACATAACTCATGTCATCCTGGGTTCCAAGGTTCAGGTATGTTTTCAACTGACCTGAAACACACCGCAACAAAATGGCAGCTTTGACAGCATCCTGGATATCTGTACCAGCTCGACGTGAATCTTCAAACACCTCCTCCAGCTTGAGCATCTGAGGCTGAAGTGGTGCATTCATTTGGAATGCTGGCCAAGAAGTTGCTGCTGAAAGTAGGGCCAAACCTCTTGTGTTGCTATTGGGGCGCAATGCCAAACACATCTGACGTAGTGCCTCATAGCCGTCAGATCCATTGACACCCTTCACAAGCCCCAGTGCCTTGCCACGCACCAAAGAAGCAAGCAAACCATACAACTTTGTACTGCGATTGCGTGCGTCGGCACTTGCAAAAACCATGCCTAAGGCTTTGGAGGGATCTTCAAAAAAAAAATCAGTTCATCATCATAGCTGGGGTC